GTGTAACCACCACTTCACAAACGGGCCCAACGGGCCCGCTTATTTGCAGGGGTTACCCCCCCCCCCCCCCCCCAAAAAAAAAAAAAAAACAGATGTGTGCCACAGACATGCTTGGCGAGTTTGTTCGACCATCGCTTCGCCGGTCAAATACATGGCCACGCGAGCTGAGAGCAACTTGACATGTTTACATCACATGGACTTCACATGAGGGAGGTCCCGACAAGACGGGCAGATAGGCAGATGGGCACGATGGGATGATGGTGAGGGGTCAACATTGCACGGTCCTCTCAGCTCTGGGGAGCTTGCCCCTCAAGCCCCTCCTCCACTTCAGCCCTATGAAGCGCCCACATTTTGGGGGAGGGGAATCCCGTTTTACTGCAAGCAATTGGACTGACCAACACCGAGAGCAGCCGATCAGTGCAGAAAATGTCCTCTTGAATGATCCCAACTGGCTGGCATTGGACAATCCTTCATGCAGAGAGACATCTCCTGCAAGCCGCAAACTCAGCCCTACGAGTCTCTCCTGGACGGGGCAATCACCCAAGAGGGCAAGACACAAAGTCCCTTCGGATGGATGTCTTGATTGTGCTGTGCTGCTGTGGCTGCCATCACCCTTCCGGCCTGCCAGTTTCGAAGACCGGCGCGGAAAGACATTTGCGCCGCCGGGTCGGTCGAATATTGAGACCTAGAATGGATAGCCCCCGAGCTGGGTGTTGAGGTGTCTATCTTTGGGCGGTAAGATCCGTCTTTGTTCCAATCAATCAGAACAAGCTTCTGAACGAGTCCTATCGTATATCTTCAAGCAAGGAGGCTGTACGATTTCCTCGCGGTGTGTTCTGCCGAGTTTGAGGAGAGTTTCCCCGCGATATGAAGTCATCAGTTCAATCAGATGGTCGGCTGCCTCGATTTCTGGAAGCTCTCCGTACTGCGCCACACATCTCAACGTGGAGGTGGCATTGCGATTGGGGTCGAAGCTCAACTCCGCAGATTGGTGGAGGAAGCGGTGAGCCCTCCCCCACCTCACCATCAAGCTTCCACCTGGAAGACCTCATATCCCAACAGCGAATCTATGGGTCACTCTCCTACGAACTTCGCTCCTCTCCCGCGATATGCGCTCAAATTCCCAAACAGCCCAGAGAGCAAAAAGGATTATACGGTCAGCATCCAGTTTCTCTTCAAGGTTCTTACGCAAGACAGAAGATTGCAACGATCGCACACGGAATGCAAATGACCAAGGACCCGTCCCCTGTCCTGTCCTGCAAGGAGCTGTCCATTGCATATTCACCGGCCCCTCTTCCCCCAAAACAGAGCATGATATCCGCTGTGGGGAAGCCGGGCAGTGCCCTTCCGCTTTTCGACCCCATTCTTGCCCTCAGCATCGGGGCCGTGCAGTCCGGTCTACATCACATCGGGGCCGTCCCTGTGGACGGCAGACGGCGGTGAGTTCTAGACACCCGCGAGGCATTCCTCGGGGCTCTCTGGGTAAACTGATGATTACCTACAGTTCCTGCAAAGAGTGCAAATCCCGGTGTAAAACCCGTCTTGACTGAGTCATCGACATCGTTACTTGACCGCTCAGGAGGGTCTGTAGTCATTATGACATATCGCGATGAAAGAATCTTCTAAAGATATCTTTTGCTATACTCACATCACAGAACCTCCATTATCCCCAAACCAAAAGATTCCCAGAATTCTGGGTTCCAAATCGCTTCCCGGAATGTCAGGTCAATGGCCCGAGGGGATGGCTGAATCCTTCGACTCAAAACCGGTATCCAGTAAAATTTCGTCAAGCTAAGGATATAATGTCTCGGCAGTGAGATTTTAATGCTGCGACGTGCCCAAACATGGGACGATTGAAGGCTTTGATGGCATTTTCGGTGTTATCACAACTCCGATACCTCTTTATGAGGCGCCATTCCCGTTTGCTTACCGAAGACCTTACCTTGGGGTTGTGATGGTGTAACGTTAACCTGGCGGGCCGTTAGGTGTAACAGTCCAGTCCTATGATTCGTCACTTTTTGATATACGTTGATTTACTTTATTTGAAACTCTATCATGCTTTGACTGTGGTTGAACAGTCCGATCACTAGAAGCAATAAGCTCCCTGATGGCCACTTTCTCTTCAACTTCATTGCTTAACCCGAAAAAAAGATCATCTTGAAGTAGTCCAGTGTTGTGCTCGTCATCGCCAGTTCATGGGAAACTGGTGCGGGCTGTGGGAAACAACCGAGATATCCACACAACAGATATGTTTCCATATTCTAGGTAGACAGACTCAAGGCACGGACAAGACCGACAGACCTCATAAAAGTCCAAGAGATATTCAATGTCAAAATAACCAATAAGTTCATCTCATAGTACAAGTTCTTTCACGTAATCTCGCCTTGAAATCTTGGACCTCGGACTTCCGTGATCCTTAGAATCATCAACAATTCCATCATTCAGCCCTACGGGGCCAGCGAATTGTCTCTTCCCGCTCCCCACTAAAACTCAATTGATTAGCGCATTCCGAAACCGCCCAATTACAGCGCTTTTTGCTAGGTGGAAACCAATTTTATTCAATACAGTACAATTTTTTATCCCAGGTATACGAATACTGGATGGGCATGGAAAAGTAACATCCATGCTTAATTATAGCACAGCCCGAGATAATAGGAACATTCTTGAAAGTCACCAGACCAGCAGACAACCTCGGCATCTTCCATTATCACCCTTTCTACCTAGAAGGACTAGCTGGGAAAAGATGTCAGCCCCCACGCTAGCAGACATCGTCTTCCCCTCGCAAGCCAACGGGCACAACTTTTCCCGCATCTTGGGCGATCTGAAGAGGTCGAATCTGTCCATAACCAACAGGCTCAACTCGATCAAGCATGATGCAGAGTTCGTCTCGAGCGTCGCTGCTGCGTTGAATCTGCCGCTGGTCGCGAATGAGAGGTGCGGGAGCTGGTATATTGACCCCTCGCAAAAGGGTGCGAGTGCGTATTTCAAGAGCACGGATGGGCATACGGGGCAGTGGAAGTTTTCTACGAGGAGGTTGAATTTGCATTTGTTGGAGGTTATAGGGGGAAATGATGGGTATGTTTGATGTCCGAAGGGATGCATATACCCGCAACTTGAACCAAGGAACTGGAACTGGGAAAATGCTGACGGATGGGGACGGGGACGGGCAGGTGCATAATTGTTGACTCAACCCGAAGGGGGAAACGTAAGCTTCTTCACCCCCTGCTTTGCAGAAAAGAAACTGACAAGAGAAAACAGGCCACCCAGACGCCCTGAGCAAAACCGTACCAACATGGTGCGCTGTGCTCAACCGCGTCCTGTTCCCCGAGGATATATCCTGCCACGGGCTGCATGTACCGCCCAACACAGTCTCCGAGTCAGAAGCCAGCCAGATCTCTGCGCGCCTGTCTGAATTCGTTGACTCCTTTCTGTCACTAGCTATCGACGTGACCCCCCTCAGGACACAGATTAGCAAGCCATTACGTCCGTTATGGGTAACTCAGGACGATGATGACTTGTTGTCTCCCGAAGGTGGGCTGTTATCAGGCGAGATAGCGAAGAAGTGGCATCCAGTGGTGTGCTGTACCTCCTCCCGCCGAGTAGTGGGCACAGAGCTGGGAGAGAGGGGGTATATCCAGGGAGCTGGAGATGACACTGAGAACTGGGCGTTGGGGTTAACGGCTCCCATCTGGTGGAGGCATAAAGAGGAACTGTTAAAAACGCCGGAGGGGGAGTTACCGGATTTTATTGAGCGGTTGGTTGCCGCCGAAGCAAACGGAGCAGGAGAAGAAGAGCCAGAGACCAGGAGAGTAGCGCCGGGGTTGTACGTGGGGACACTGCAGGCTTTAGGGAGTTCTCTCACTACGACCGGGGCGTGCGTGGTGAGTTTACTGCCGAAAGCCACGGAGCAGACAATGTGGGTGAAATTGCAGAGGCATATAGAGGTGGGACTGGGGAAGAGTAAAGCTGCTAGTCGGGCGTTGAGGGATGCCCTGCCTAGAATTTGTGAGTTTGTCTCTGGGTGTCTGAAGAAGCAACAAGAAGATGAACGAACCGAGAAAGAGGGAGAAATGGAGAAGAAAAGAGTGATATTACTCTGCGAAACGGGCAAGGACTTGTCAGTGGGCGTAGCACTAGCACTCTACTGCTGGTGTTTTGACGCTGAAGGCAAGGTACGGACAGGAGAAGAAGTGAAGGAAGGGTTCAACAAGACGGCGATCAGAGTCAAGCTGGGGCATATCATGACCGCGGTCCCAGATGCGAACCCTAGTCGGGCGACGTTGCAGAGTGTTAATAGCTTTTTGATGGACTGGAGGAAATGAGAACATGAATCCAAGCTCACGCCGAATCTGAACTAAGTGAAAGATGTATCTTGTCTGTTGATGATACTTTCCAAACTCTGCTCAAAGACTTTCTCGCAAGCTTCACCTTGCCCTGAACCCCTTCTCTTGCTCATGATGTCATACCTAGATCTATCAGGCGTCTTTCATGATGTACGAAAGAGGATGTTTAAGCCAAGAGGCCTGCACCATTACTCTGATACTGGTCGGTCTTGGTCATGGCAAAGGAGACCTCTTGCAAGGTTTGTGCACACTAGGTCAAGTCCTCTGACAACAACCTCGCTTTGTCGGAGAATATCTCCTACTGTTTTATGCAGATATATGCCGGTTGTGTAGTGTAGTGGTTATCACTCTGGATTTTGATTAGGTAGATTTCAGATCTTATCGTCAACCTTCCAGTAACCCCGGTTCGAACCCGGGCACGACCTGATCTTTTTGTCCACAGTCAGCCGACCAACGGCGCAACGACGACGACCAAAGCTTATGAGCAACAACCAAGGACCGCAAAACGGCCGTAATTCAGCTGTAGATCTTATAGATAGGCGTATGGGAAGGATAGATCATTATAACTTAGCGCTATGAACCTATAGCACGATACCTGATTTTACTAAAGAGGCAATAAAGGTTTTTATGCCTATAGGGGGTTTACCGGAATATATGGAGGACGTGTTTTAGCACTTTTTAGCGTAAATAGAAGATAACTTTGTTAGGGACTATGTAAATAGCTTTACGTAGGCCCTTGACTGGTAGCGTCCTAATATTCCATGAGGTATATACGGTTAGGCCGCTTCGCGGCTCCGCCCCAGACGTAAAATGATATACACACACAGAGATATATGCCTTAACCGCTTACAGCCAATCTTTTACTGAACTAAACCAATGCTTGTGATCAATGGCCCGCTTGTGAAGCTCCTGGCTCTTTCATTTCATCTGGGCTTCATGTTGGGATATCACTTTGGAGCCTACCGATAATGTGATCTTCTCTCAAAGAGCCCTTGGGCTGCTTGTTCACTCTTTTCATCCATTGATAAGTCGTAAGGATGTTCTCATTCCAAAAAGGTAATCATTGACCATGACCTAGCCATCTATCCCCCCTCGTCTAAATCTATATCTCCCCATCTACCTCTATTCCTCTATCCCCTGACACAAGCCTTTAAACCTCACCACTCTCAATCTTCGCCAACGCCCCCTCAAACTCACTCCAATCCCGCATAATTACCACCGCCCCGGCATCTTTCAGCACCTTCTCCATCTTCTCCCTCTCCTCCGCCTTGTACGGGCCAACATACCCAATAACATTAATCCCCGCCCTCGTCCCGCTCAGTGTACCGCTCTTGCTGTCCTCCACCGCCACACACTCCTCCGGCTTCTTCCCCATCTTCTCCATAGCCCACAAGTAAATCGCCGGGTCAGGCTTACTCGTCGGCTTCGGCAGACTGGTCGCAGCGCTGTACACATCCTCCCCAAAGTACTTGTCCTGCCCGACCTTCTCAATACTCGCCTTCACCCGTCTCAGGGCTGACGAACTGACGACCGCCAACTTGTACTTGTTTTCCTTTGCCAACTTCTCCAGAACCGCATCGACACCAACGCAAGGGACGAGCTTCTCTTTCAGCTTGGCAATGACCACGTCCTCTTCGCGGCGGACATAGTCGTCGAGTTCTTCGTCCGTCATGGAGAACTTATACCGTTGCTGGAGGGAGGTCATCATGCCCCGGAAATTCTGGCCGACGAACTCGACGATGAGGGATTCCCCCGTAAAAGGCTGGGGGAGGTCGACATTTTTCGAGGCTGAAATCTCGTTGATGAGGTCCGCGCAGCCCTCAAAGGCTAGGTCCTCGGAGAGGACGAGGGTGTTGTCGCAGTCTAGGAGGATGGTGGTGATCTGCGGGGACGTACGGATTAGCTTTTGGGCGATCTTTTCTTGGGAGGACAAGATAGAGATAAAAAAGAAAAGAGTACGTACCTTGCCCATGTTTGCGGTTTTCAACTGATCGTCTCGTGTTTGCTTGTTTTTGCGTGAACGTGTGGCACTTGAACCCAAATAACTGCCTGGTAGGTACCGGATTTCGTCCGGCGTTGGATAGGGTGTACTTTGCTGCCGCTTTTGGGGGTGAACTCGTTGTGAAAGCTGAACATTACTTTTGAGGAAGGGAGGGGGGGGACAAGTTGAAAAGTCAATTGGAATATTATCGTAGTTTTATTGCTTTCAATAAACAGCTCTTCTTCCTTTCGATCTGATACACGTGTAGACAAGAAGTACATTGATGCTCCTTCAATGGAACGGCATCCCCCAACGAGCTCCTTCAACAACACCCCCTCTGTCGATCATGTCGTCATACGGCAACAAAAACCCTGGATTTAGCGGCTTAGCGGTGGGTATTAGTGGGGGTGTTTTACTGGGATCAGGCAGGTCCCGTCGGCCGAAATTCATGGAAGGGACCCCGCCATGTATACCGCTTCTCGCATTTCAGGGTCGGAAGGAGGGGTTGTGTTCAGAGTTCGTGATGTTTCATGCCGAACATTTATCTGAAAGAGAAGAGACGGTTTTAGCTTGATGTTGGCCAGGATAATGTTGGAATAGCCTCACTTTTGGTAAGGCTTGGCTGCAAAATCTGCCCAAGAGTTCGAGCCCCAGGTCTCACCTCGACGGGAGCGAAGCACTCACATGTGAAAATGAGACAGGAGAAAAGATGACTTGTCCTCCCAGACGTCTCCTCATTACCTAAAGATCAAGTAAATTACCAAGACAACAAAAACCCTCAAAAAGCAACACGAAGCAGCATCAAGAGCCCGAGTACCCGTCGAGATACATAACCGAACTTTTGTCGAGTTTTATCGGACTGCAATCTGCAAGGTTTCCAAGGCTATCTTGCTTTACATCCTGATTATCTACATGAAGGATCTCTCGAGATGGTCCCTTCCTGCATGAAGAGAAACTACCCATCTCCATCCCTGTTCTTCTCGCTCTTGCTTGTAAAGTTGAAGCACTCTGATATCGTCTATCCTGAAAACTTTGGACGCCGGTGGTTTGTATCACAACCTCATGTGTGAAATGGGCTTGAGAGGAGCACGACATACATGCAAGCCACACGGATATTTCTTCATGCAAAACACATGTGCCAACTGGCGCTAACCCTTCCACCGCACAAGTTGTTACACCAAATATCCAAACCCTGGGAGATCTATGCCTAACCGTCATTTTCCCCCAAGTCCTGCGTTTTCTATATTCCAAGTCGGCCTATTTGGCATCTTAGTAAGAGGATGCAGTCAGCCAGTTGATAGCCAATGGTATCCCATGTCCTTAACAGCAATGAACATCTGTGACGTTCTGTCATACAGAAACAAAAAGAATCCCAAGAATCATCATCTAATCTGACCACCACTTCCTTATGGGGTGCCACAGCGTCCATGATATCCTATCATCTACACAAAGTGATCGCATATTGTCCGACCGTAATTCTATCTCGGGTCCTGGCATCTTCGGCGAAACTATCGAAAGCTTCCATAGCGACACTCAGAACAAAGTCAATCCAGCACGAGATACCGCTTAAACACAAAGAAGTGATTCAAGGCCGCAAAGGCCAAGCTGACTGGTTCATTAAATACTCTATAGCGAGTCTAGATACCTAGTCCATCCTCCACTCTGTTCCGTCTTCCCCAGTAGTCGTCAATCTCGTTGTCCAGTATGTCATGTAGACCGCCCTGTCTTCCCCTGGGAAAATAAAACAACGCAGACAACAAGAAAAGCAATATTTCTTTCCTGGGGTTTACTCAAATTGTCTGAAGCGCCACCACCACGTTTAAAAACCGCCCCAAATCCGTCCAGTGCTATGAAAACGTAAAAAAACAAACGAAAACAAGGAATACGCCCCGACGCCTAATAATATGATTATCTTGTTATGTGCCTGGTACTCTGTTTGTCCTGATGCATATGATTCGTTTCCAGAATGTGTTGACTTCTAAGGAAGAATCTCCCGCAGCTTCTGTTTCTGCGTGGGCGATAACGTCATCGGGAACCGGACGTTGTACCGCACGATAAAGTTGCCGCGCTGGCCGGGCTTCTTGGAAATCGGCATGCCAAGACCAGGATACGAATCGGAGCTGCCGGGTTGCGTCGGGCCGGCCTTATCGATGTTGAGGTTCTTGCCCTCAATCGTCGTAACCGTTCGCTTCCAGCCGGTGAGCGCTTCCTTGAGCTCGAGGTCCACGGTGTGAACCAGGTCATCGCCCTCGCGGACGAAAAGAGGATGTGGTTTCTGTAAATCACTAGTTAGCATCATGTCCCCTGGATAGAGTTTAGAGCAGAGATTAGCTTACCTCCTCGACAATAAACACCAAGTCCTGCTGACCACCCTCTTCTTGATCACCGACGCCCTTGAAGCGGATCTTGCTGCCCTTCTTGAGACCGGGCTTGATTGGAACCTCAAGCACTGTGTCTGTCGTCGTCCTCTTGCCGGTCTCGTCAAACATCTTGCGCTTGATCTTCATCTTCTTGGTGACGCCGTTGAAGAGGTCCTCCAGCGAGAGCGGCAGTGGCCGCTCCACCGTTGTCACCTCTGGCGTCGGCTGGCGCGCAGTTCTCATGCCTTCGCCGAAAGAGCCACGCATCCTACTGCGGCTAGTCCCCGAAGAAGCTGTTGATCTTGCGCCGCCGCCAAACAAGATATCCTCAAAGGCATCACCGCCAAGACCCTCCCCGCGAGCGAAATTCCGGAACAGATCGTTCGGGTCTGTAAAGTTGAAACCGTAGGAAAAGGTGCGGGCACCGCCGCCTCCACCACCACCGGCGTTGGAGAAGAATTGTGAGAAACCTTCGGGCATGCCACCAGCACCGGCGCCGGCAAACGGATTGGCTCCACCGGCGTCAGGAGGTGGGACGTTTCCGCCACGCAGGATAAACTCTAGGCCGAACTGGTCGTAGGTCTTTCTCTTCTCAGGGTCGGAGAGAATTTCGTAGGCTTGCGAGCACTCCTTGAACTTCTCGGCAGCGTCCGGGTTGTCCTTGTTCTTGTCGGGGTGCCATTTTAGAGCAGCTTTCCTATAAGTGTTGTGTTAGCTATCGTGTGATGCCATCATGTTGACTCCACTCTCCATCGTCATCATCGTTGCTTCGTTTGCAGAACAAAGAGGAAGTCTCAGGAACAGTGCTAATGCGAGCAGCCGACAGCAGGAATTGAAGCATTGAAGTCAAGACCAGTTGGTTTTGAGGTTCAACCAAAAGATCGCCCTCAATGTCTTGTCTTGCCTCTGTCGCTATCCGCGGGTTGTTTTGCACCTCGCACTGAGACCTGGGGTAGATGGAAGCGGGGGTTATCTGGATTAGGGAAGCGGTGAATCCTTACCTGTAGGCCTTTTTTATCTCGTCCTGGGTCGCAGTGGGGCTAACACTTAGCGAGTCATAGAGCTTTGTCTCCTTGACCATCTT